GGGAGGTGCAGCACAACTTCGAACAGAGGGACGGTTAGCAAGATATTGCTCAGGCAGCCCAAAGCGAGCTTAGAAACAAAGCATCGTAATACAGTACATAGGCGAAAAGATTGTTCTGCCAAATCTCATCGAGCTGAAGTCTTCTTGTCCTTCGCTTGTCTTCCATCTCATCCATTTTTTTTTTCTTTTTTCTTTTTTCTTTTTTCTTTTTTCTTTTTTCTTTTTTCTTTTTTCTTTTTTCTTTTTTCTTTTTTCTTTTTTCTTTTTTCTTTTTTCTTTTTATTTATTAATTATTATTTTTTGAATCGCTTGGTGGAGCATTTGCTGGAGCGTTTGAATCGAGCCCAGCTGCTGCTTCTTGAACTGCAGCAAGTTGCAGTTGCAGCTCGCTTGCGATTAGACGAGGTCCGAATCAGTAACGAGAGAGCCCCTTCTTCCACGATTCGAACGTCGAAGGGTTAGTCCATCATCAGTCTTTACAGCTGAGAGTCGGTCGCAAAGATTCGGTCAGATAAGCATCGACGTTGGCGCGGCCTGTCGGTATCCCTGTCGACCACGTCGTCGTCGTGAGAAAAAAGCACAAGCGGACACTGCTCTTCCGATTTCGCACAACTCTTGTCATTGTCTCAAAGTTCTGGACCGCGTTGGTTGTCGCTCTCAGGCAGCCTAGATGGGTTGCAATGAAGTTTGTGTTGCGTTGTCGTCAACCAACCATCCAATTAGCATGCTTACCTCTTCTTCGGACCCGCGACGAGGCGATTGGAGACTCGGCCTGTCCTTGTCTGCTGCTACAGTCGCACTGACAACTCTCAACTAGATTTAGTCCAATTCAAGAGTCTGCAGTGTGAAAGCGCCAAAGACAGTGTCACTGAGTTCCCATTCGGCCAAGTCCCCTTGCCTGTCTACCTACTATCCAGCGAGGATCGGCCCATCAAGCTTCGCCAAAAGTAAATCTACCACTCTTACTTGTTCGGAGGCGTCTCGGTGCCATGTCAAGGCGGAAATATTTGCTAGCTTCCTTGACGACACACACTAATGCCGGCTTGCTTCGGGATCCGCGAGAGAGGAGCATGACCGGACCGGCCGGCCGGTCGTGCGTGACGGATCAACTTATCACTGCCAACCAACGGCATGGACCCCTACTGCGAGATGTGGCAGACGCCAACGCAGCGGTGACACCAAAGCTCGCTCGGCTTCGGCGCCGTTCATTCCCCTCGATGTCAATTCGATCAGCCTTTCGAGATCCCGCGTACTGCACAGCACAGTATCCGCATCTTCGGATGCTCTCCACACCACAGGCCGCAAAGTGCATGATGCACTCGATATATTGCAGTCTGTGCGTACAAGACAGGCCAAGTGGCGAATGCATCGGAGCGCGTGTCACTGTGACGACCGCTGCGAAAGCCAACGAAACATCTTTCCAAGCCAAGACACATCCATTTGGTAGCGCCAACATCTCAATCCGTGTCACTTGTTGAGATGTCGCCGGTCGGGCGAGACATCCTGCTCCACAATATAGCACAATAGCAGAGTCACCTAGCAAAGCAAAAATCGGACCGACGTGGGAAGACTATGGAGTGGGAGTAAGAGGTGGGAGAAAGATAGACAAACTGGAATGATAGATAAATTCGACGCTAAGCGAGACACCATTGGAGCCATCTCGGAGATCTTTCTTTCCCTCACAGTCTTCGTCGCTACTTCCCACAGTGTCCCGGTCCGCATCGACGTGATGAGGGTCGTGGGAGCACATCTCGGTCCATCGTCGGAAGCGCAGCCGCTCCCTTCTTTGTGTGGCTGCAAGAAGCAGCCTAAAATGAAGAAAAGCCGCTAGTCTCCTCATCCCGTTATCGCTCATATGTGAGCGCCAAAAGATGAAGGCACAGTAGCATGCGGACTAGCGCTGAAGCGAGACCATTAACCCAATGATCTCGAAACCCTTATGAACCCGAAAATATTTTGGTGCTCAGCCACCACCCCAATTTTGGGTTCCACTTCTCCATCTCTCCCCTCTTTCTCCTTGCCATCCACGCGGTACTTTTTTTGTCTCAGATTACTGTCAGGCAAGAGCTTGACAGACTACTGACAGCAGAATTGAAGCAGCAAGAGCAGTGGCGGCAGCAGAGGCCGCGGCAACATCAGCAGCTACAGCGTGGCATGACATGGCATGGCAAACAAGCAGCTCTCGATTCGCACGTCGACAGGAGACAGCCACCAAGGCCCTGTCACATTCGTCAGCCAATGTCCTTCTCGCGCAAACAGCAGAGATCGCTAGGCCATGAAAGCATGAACGCAGATCATCCCCTTTTTTTCTCTCATGCCTAGCCCCGGGTCTTTTGATGCTCATTGCTTGCTCCGGACGAGCGCAGTGCTGTGTCGTGCTCCTGTATGACGGTCGCCTTAGCGTGTCGCCAATGAATCTTGTCATCGTGAGACCACTTCTTGACATCCAACGATGCTTTCTGCCGTCCACCAGCAGCTTCAGTCTCGCTTTGTCAATCTCGCTGTGAAGTGCAATCGGTATCAGATGTTTCAGTCTCGCGCGCCTCGCCCAAAACTCAACAGTCAGTGTCTCCGCCACACACTCTTCTCCAGCCGAGTCGAAGCAGCATCAAGACGATTGGTCGGTCGGATATGCAGCTTCACCTTGTTTGTATGTAGTGGCCTCGTCTACTGAACAGAACTGTACCGGAGCATGTCTCTGATAGCCGTCTCTAACAGTAATCCGACGGCGACAGCGATTATTGCTGGCGAGCAGTCAACGCTCCTGATGCAGGCTCTTGTGGTACCCATGCCTTCTTTTATCGCTCGACTCACTATCTCAGTCTCAGTCATCGTTGTGCAGCGCATCGCTTCTTTACCTTAGCCCCTTCTCTGTGGCCATACAGTAGTGTTGTCTTCTCAGACTGTGCAAGTGATTGAAAATCTTTCCTGACTTTGCATAGCCCTAGTATCCGTCGTAGCACATGCACAACGATGCCAACGATGCCGGATCACTGCGAGCAAGACCTCGGGTTGTTCATGCCACCTGTCGGAACAGCAGTGCAGTAGAGTGCAGGTGTCCAAACCTCCGCATGTTCCTAAACTTATCCTCTGTCTTAGATCGAGGTCTTTTTTTTTCTTCAAATTTTTTGCTTTTTTCTTTTCTTTATTCTTTCGTATTGTGTTGGAGCTTTACGAATCTGGTGATAGACTATATATATATATATGCAATGTGAATTTAGCCGCCCAGTTAAAGGGCCAATCGTATAGTGGCTTATTATGCTGTCTTAGGGTATAGGGATGTCTAGTAGGGATCCTGTGTTGTGTTTCTACTCCCTCCATTCTAAGTTGACAGAGGTCCCCGGTTCGATTCCGGGTTGGCCCCCCTTTTTTCAATTTCTTCATCCTCTTCCTCTGCTTTTTGCTACACCCTTTTTTCTTTTCGTTTGGGTACGAGATTAAGAACATTTGTGATTGATAACATGCTTATCTCTTTGGCTCCTCACTCGTGTTAACGCTGCTTCTCCGTCGTTCGATGTCTACGGACAAATGCGATACGCACTGAGATATCAATCTGTGTCAGATGAGTAGATACGTGCTCTCAACAGACGTTCTAACCTCCTACCAGCGAGATGTCGAGACGAGAACCCGATGAGAGAATGAAATCGGCTTCCTCGTTGTGGCTGTCAAACGCGTGCAGAACGCGAACATTCGAGGAATGTCAAACTGCGCCAAAACCCGTTCTTTGCCTTCTTTGCTACCTGCCTGTTATTGTATCACTCTCTCAGCTATATTTGTGACATGTGTCGACCTTTGTGCTCCATACTCTCCTCGTATGTCCGTTTGATTGACAATATGCTTCTAATCTTCCGCTCTCTTTCTCTGCTTGCAGTGTGAAATGGCTGCATCTGTCTAATTTGGATGGCCATCGCGGGCATCCTCATGTTCTTCCTTACAAGCGAGACGAACAATGCTGTGGCCAACCACACAGGAAGGACAATAACTGCGAGCGAGTCCTTCTAACATTCTCTTCTAGGCTGAGCTCGAAGATCGCGATCTCATACCAATGCACTGCAAGTTGCTTGCGGGGGTCTAAAGAGAGCAACTATCCTCCGCCAATCTACGGCGTTTCAAGTCAAGAGTGAGTCTCGCATCTTGCGAAATAGACCTTTCGCTGCCTTCGTTCCGATACAGAGACAGCTGCTGAAGACACTCAAGCTGTATACGGTGCTCTAAGGCGGAGGAGAAAGGCTCGCATAAGTCGCGCTCGAGCAAACAAGCCACATCCGTCGCCGTCGCACTGATTCACTTAACGTCGACACGGGAACAAGCCCCGGCGGCTTTGGACTCCACCAGTCGTGTCGAAGACCAAACATCCCGTCCAAGATGTTGCATTGACCGCCCGCTTTCCCAACACAGAAGCATACCAGGAGCAGAGGGTAAGGAGACACCAATGCCGTTCAATAAAAGAGGCGGACTATCCAGGAGATGTCAACAATGCAGCCCTATTACCTCCCCCTCCCCTTTCCCCCTTCCCATCTTCCCGTCATGCTCCCTACCTCCATCTTTTCCGCCATCTCGCTACGTCTTCAACATCAGCTGCCGACACACCACACGAGCCACCGTGCTTCCTCTTTCCTCGTCACAGCTTCAATTAAGAAAACAATCGCGAGACATGAAGAGCACCATCCTTGCAAGCTCGGCGACAGCCATGGTGGCCGTCCTGGCCATCTCGAGTACATCAGCTGTGCCACTCAACAAACGACTGTAAGCACCCGACACCATCAGCTGGCAGCACGAACGACAACAAGATCCCTCTCATAGTGGTTACTCACCTCTCATCCTTCTTACTATGCATACGAGGGAACGCTGCCCTGGCCTTGTCGATGGATGCTTCGCCCACCATCCCTCAGCTCGATCTCGACCGGCTCGTCCCCACCTCAAACATTCCAGCGGTCATGGGCGAAATCCAATGCATGGTCACTTAAGTCGTCGATGGCGTGACCCAAGTCATCGCGACCATGATTCCTTCTCCCACCGTCCCTGCCAACGTCGGCGACTTGATCCCAGACGTCACTATGGCAGTTTTGGTCTCTGTTCCCATTCCACCTCCCGAGGTCGACATTTTGGCCAAACTCGCCGAAAGCGCATTGAATGCCTTCCCCTCAATTCTTATGCACAACCTTCAAGGTATCCATAGCATTTACTCGTCAGCCATCGCTGCTGCTGCCACTGCTATCCCTACACCGGTCGTATACATCACCACCGAGGATGGCAAAGAGTGCACAAAGACTTCCACACCGGCCACACCCTTCTTGCCAACTGATGGTGTCATCAAAGCACTCTCGATCTTGATGAGCGCACTGCCCAACCCAACGGGCGTGCTGCAAGAGGTGACGAGTGTAGTTGGTGGTGTCACATCGATCCTGAAGTCGATACGTCTCTGCCACGGACACAACGGTGCTCACGAGATCTGCTTGACACAAAGCTGGTCGAACGGGGGGACCTCTTCTAAAGTGACACCGCTTCAGAAAAGCAGCATCGGGGCGCTACTTGCTGTTCCGCTAGCTCGATAGGCGAAGCGCTTAGTTCGTTCCGAAGATGTTAGCGTGTCCAGCACTTGCTCGCTGTGCTGCAGGGCAAGCCGAAGAGCAGAAATGATGTGGTTTGCTCGATCGGTGCTGGCGACTAGCTCGCCTTAACACTAAGAATGATGCTGCGGGTAATGTGTGCCAGCTTGAACGCTCTCCTGGTCGTGACGTAGCGTCCAATGTCGTACGTGCCGGTCAGCTTGTTCGGCCGGTCGAAAGCCGAATGCCGGTGAATAGAGAGACCGTTGCTTTGCTGCTCGCTTCTTCCGCGCTTCCTTTTCTCCCCCGCAATTGTGAATTCCACGGCCTCTGCAATTCTGCCGATTTTCCCCCACAAATTCCGCCGCATTTTCAACACAGCACACAACACTGCAGGCTCCGCCTTCATCTTATCACGAGGCAAGGCTTCCATTGGAAAAGTGGTTCTGCCGAGCAAAGAGAACGAGGAACAGATCCCCGGCTTGCGTTGCAAGCACTGAGCCCGTGGTTTGGTCTTGGTCTTGTTTGCGCGGCAAGCCAACCCCCCCCCCCCCTTCGACTGCCTCACCTCCACCGCTTCTGCAGTCGACCGGTCAACCGGTAATGCTTCCTCCGCTCTCCTGACCCTCTCGTTCTTTGTACGACAATAATGACTGCTCCTGGCTGTGTCTTGGACCATCTGCTCAACGGCCGGATGAACCGCTGTCCGTGTTCCCGACGACCCTTTCCTGTGTTCCAAGCACCGCTCGACCGAGGAGTCTGCCCGTCCAGATTTGCTTGCGTGTGCTCTATGCTAATCCCTCCTGACAAACGATTGAGACGCCCGTTATAATGTTCTCCCCTTCTCACCTCACCCACATCCTATTTGCCTGACCGTAGACCATCTCATTCGACGTCGCCTCAACTCCTTGTTATAGGATAGGAACAGCCGGAGTTCGCAAAGCTTAACCTTCCTTTTCCTACCTCCAAACCCCGTCCCATCGAAGATTGGTTTGGACAAGATGAGCTCGCCGAACACGTCTTCTCCCGCCGCGCCTCCAAGTCCGGCTGCCAAGCGATCCATGACCGAAGACTTCAAGGGCGATAAAGATACGCTAATCCCTTTTGAGAAAGTAGACCAGCTTCTCACCGCCAAGGGAAGCTTGCTCGAGACCGAAGTGCGATTCATCCACGGTAGACTCACCACTGTTTGGAAGCAACTTCCCAAATCCGTTCGTGATCTTTGGCTCTTGTCCTCCACAGTAAGTTCAGTCCTATCTCGGCTCATCCATAGTATCGTCGGCCATCCTTAACTGACATCGACCTCCTCCCATTCTGCGACCTGGTAGACAAACGCATCAAAACCTTTCATCGTAGCCGAAGGCGAGACTCATACCTACGGTGATGTTGCCAAGCGTGCCCATCTCACCGCCACATGGCTTTCTCGCCACTTCAACATCCAGAAAGGAGATCGAGTAGCCATTGTTGGACGCAACCACGTCGAATTCGTCATCTCCTTCCTCGCCGTACACCTTCTCGGAGCGGTCCCTGCACTCGCAAATGCCTTCCTACCCGGTCAAGCCATCTATGACTGCATTCGCGATGTCGGATGCAAAGCTGCCCTGTTCGACGTCGAGCGATTCAGACGACTGAGGGATGCAGAGACGAACTTTATCGAGAAGCTGTTTGGGCCTGCTGGTCCAGACTGCGTGGATGATTTTGATTGTGTGCCTGGTGCACATGCCGGTTTGAGCGGCGTTGCTGTCTTCCCTCGTGCTTTCGCCGGTATCCTGCCCGAGAAGGAGAGAGAGTGGGCTGGTGGAAGGGGAGGAAAAAAAGTGTTTGACTCTCACGAGCTGGATCGCAAGTACCAATCTGTTGCTCAGGGAGCAGGTGCGATCCCAAAGATCGACATTGAACCAGAGGATTTGGCTTCGGTGCTGTACACTTCGGGAACTACAGGCAAGCCAAAAGGCGTCGCTGCTACTCAGAGGCAGTTCTTGTCTGCAGGTCCCAATTCCGGTTACAGCCTCGCTCGAGCTTACGTTCGCAGAGGTATGGCTCCGCCTACTCCGGGACCCGACGACGAACAATCCTCAACCATTTTCATGATCCCTCTCTTCCACTCTACCGGCATTCAATCCGGTCTTGTACCCAGCATGGGCAGAGGAACCAAGATCTGCCTCATGCCCAAATACGACCTTGACAAAGCAGCAGCGCTCATCCAAGAACACAAGATTCAAGTGGCACTGGGAATCGGATTCATGATTCGAGAACTTATGCTCAGCAAACATCACTTGCCTTCGCTACAGGGTGTTTCGCATGGAGGATCTTCCAGCGCGAAAGAGTTGCCAGAAGAATCGCGTGCAAAGATACCTTCTATGCTCGTCGGTCAAGGTTACGGTTCGACCGAGGTGAATGGCGCTGCAGCCGGTCTTGCTAGTGACGACTACCGACTCCGACCCACCTCAGCAGGTAAAGCACCTCCCACTAACGATATCCGCATTATTGACCCTGACACTTTGCTCGAAGTGTCCAACGGCCAATCCGGTGAGATCTGGATCCGTGGTCCCAATGTAGCCCTCGGATACTGGGGAAAGAAGAAAGCCACCGACGAAGCCTTTACCAGGGACGGCTACTTCCGCACCGGTGACCTTGGGCGAAAAGAAGACGACGGATTCATTTACGTCATGGATCGTTCCAAACACATCATCATTCGTGGTGGTGAGAACATTAGCGGTACTGAAGTCGAAACCGCCATCTACTCGGAGAGGAGGATCATCGATTGTGCTGCCGTGCCGATCCCGGATGACAGGTTCGGCGAGACGGTGGGTGTGGTTTGCGTCCCCCGCGCAGAGTACCAGAAGGAGAACAGACCAACAGTGGAGGATGTATTGGCAGTGGCGAGGAAGCTGTTGCCAAAGCACGAGGTACCAGACTTTGTTTGGATCAGGGATGAACCATTGGAGAGGAACGCGAACGGAAAAGTGGACAAGGCGATCGTCAAGGAAGCTGCTAGGAAGAAACATGCTGAACTCAAGTTGGCTAACACGAAGGGCAAGCTGTGATGGTTTCGCATCTACCAACCTCAGGCCCGTTCCACACTACTCTTTTCACCCAGCATAGGAATTGTTCATTGGAATCGCATCACTCGGAACCATTGCTCTTGGAATGCACTCTTTTACATGTAGCTTATCGTTCAGACTCTTGCACATTGTCTCACTGGTAGGCCTTGTAAGCGTGAGGTGCGGATTGGCGTGAAAATCCTGATTACCGTCGCGGACACACTGAAATGAACCAGAGACGAGGCGTGAAACAAGCAGAGGTCTGGTTTGCTGTATTGGAAGGTACAATTACAATGTAGGGTCGAAAACGGGTGATGGAACAATGTACATCTGGGGTCGATGGCCCCATCATGGTAGTGCGTTGCTATTCAAGGACGTTGAAAGGGGCGTAGTGAAAGTCGTAAGGACTGTGATCACATGAGCCACATATCATCCCCTGTCTGACTGTGCGCATCATCGTCCAGCACTGTCCCTGAATCGAACGTCTTCCCTGTCATCGCCTGCACCAATGTCTTTGTTCTATCCCTCACCGCCAGCTCCATCTCGTTGTGCAACACCGCTGCAGCTTCAATCGCCAATGTAAAGATCTGTTCAAATCTCTCTACATGCAATCTTGTCTCCAGACTTGCCAACGTCACCTGCTTCGTCCTTGGCAACACTGCAACTGTCACATGCGGCAAGTCCATCTCTTCTGCATTTGACAGATCCAACATCGCCGAAGTCGAATGAATACCGCACGATACTGAAGCGACAAAGTCCTGCATAGCTATCCCTGCATCTAGTAGCGCTAGTGTTGCAGCGTTGATTGCTGCCGGCAAGACACCGCCATCTTGCTGATGCACTTGGACGAAGATATCAATCTGTGATCTCGGGTATAGATGTGTGTGGATGACAGGCTCGAATGTGGATTTAATCGAAGATGCAAACTCGAGTAGACGACGGTCTCCGCGGTTGCGACGTCGTCGTTCCGTAGATCCCCAGGGTGCGAGACAGACTTCCACATTGACTGAGGCTCGGTCGTGGATCATGTTTGCACCAGTGCGCGCTTCACGAGGGCCAAAAACGGTAGCTGATACGGTGGTGAGACCTTGTGTGATTTGTGCCGAGCCATCGGCCGAGGTGTCTGGTGAGCCGCCGAGTTGTATGGCGATGGAACGAAGCTCGAACTGCTTGCGTCCGTCGACACGGAAGCCTCCCGCATTGAGGAGCTCCACTCGTGACTGCAGAGGTCAGAGAAGAGCAGTCAGAAGTTGCTCAACTAAGTTTCGACACGCATACTGTGTTTCACTTACCATCTTTGCAGATACCTGAGCGCTTCTGATGGGGAGAGTATGGTGGTGTCAAGTCGATTTGAAGAAGCCTTTTGTGGAGCAAGTTGGCAGTTTCCAGCTTCCGAAGATTTTTCGATCGGGCCCGATCTCACGCACCTCCACGCGCGACGGTTTCTGAATGTGTTGCTCTCGAAAGCAACACTTGACACACACTTCCCCCCCTCTCCTTGGCTTCTGTCCACCATACGTCACCCTTCACAGTAGAGAGCCACTGGCCAGCACGAGCATCATGTCCTTGGTGCAGGCCTGGCGCCAGGCTCTGCAGAGCTTAGCGTCAGGATCTGATCACCCGTCTACTCGGGGAACCTCAGCTTCACAGCTGCCTTCAGTAGATGCCTACACCACCCTCACGCAATTCTTGGAACCCTCTAAGCCCGCAACGTGTCGCTTCTACGATGCAGCATCAGGATACTGCCTTCTAGACGCGAGCGCTCACGAAGCCCTTCAGACCCTGCTCGGCGGCAATGCCTCAGTCTCATCTAGCTCGAAGCAAGACCTCTCTGGACCCAGCCCCATTCTCTTGACCCTTTCCAATCACTACACCGACCGATGCATCCAGAACTTCGACATTGTAGCTGTGGAGCTCAGAGCATCGCGCTTGCACGGAGATCTCATTTCAAGTCTTCCCAACATTGCGACCTGGTTTCAGGCCTGGCTCTCTCCCTACATGACCAACTCGATCTTCCAGGGTTTGAACAAAGAACGAGACGACCTCCTGCAAACGCTACGGACGAGGCTGCGCTTGTACTTTGATAGTAGGGCAGCTGAATCTCTCAGACAGCACCTCGAGCAGCTCGTTGTAGAAGACACCGGCAACGACCTTCGTGCATCGTTTGTCGCCCACCTCAATCTAGCTGGTCTAGCAGGACCTGCATTGACGCTGCTCACCCGAGTTATGCATGCAGAGATCTCGCGCAAGGTTCGAGCTGTAGTGGGTGCTGTCGAGCTGCGACCGCAAGACAATGTGCTACCGCTCGAATCTGCTGCTCGCCCAGTGCTTCAGCAGTGGCTAGATGATGAGGTGAAGCCACGCTTTGCAGCCATCCGCGATTTGTGTTTGCAGCAAGACTCGAAGAGCACCGCAGGCGCAATGGAAGAGGACGACTCCGCAGGAGAAGCGTTTAGCTGGCAACATCGCTTCGACTACGAGCTAGATAAAGCACTCTGTCTGACCCGAGCAAATCAGCTCTTCGACCTTGTGGCGATGTATCCTGACTCTTCTGCCGCGCTTGATGACCTCCGACTCAGTCTGCAAACAGCGGATCAGAGGTTGAATGTCGCAAAGACGCTGTCGAGCTCATTGCAGATGCGCTTATTGCATCCTGGTGCGCATACGCGTGACATCATTCAGATGTATGTCCATCTTGTCCGGGCTTTGCGCGAGATGGATCCGACCGGTGTGGTGCTCTCGCGTGTTGTCTCTCCGCTGCGAAAATACTTGCGTGGGAGAAAAGATACTGTGCTAGTCATTGTAGCATCAATGCTCGGGGATGACCCTGATTTCACCTTGCTCAAAGACGAGCTCGAGCGAGCAGATCAAGAAGAGCAGGAGCAAGAAGAGCTGGACACCCACAGGCGAAGACGTCGACCTCGTCGCTCCCTCCAAACGTCGACCCCCGCTCCTTCCAGCGGCAAGAGCAGCAAGCGCGCCGCAAAGCGACGTGTTCCTCACAACCGCCGCGGCGCGTCTGCTGCGGATGGATCAGATAGCGGAGCATCCTCCGAAGAAGACTGGGACGATCCCAACTGGGTCCCCAAACCGGTCGAAGCGGGAAGTGGGTACCGAATGTCTACGTCCAAAGACATCATCTCCATGCTCACGAGTATCTTTGACGACCGCAGTGGCTTCATTGCAGCGTTGGAGAAAAGTATGGCAGACCAGCTAGTTCAAGTGAAAGGCTACAAGGCGATGAAAGAGTATCGAAACAACATGATCCTCAAGAAGAGGTTTGGCGAGAAGAACATGGGCAAATGCGATGTCATGCTTGGAGACGTCACCGAGTCCAGGCGAATCGATAGCGAAATCCATCAACGGAGAAGAACAAAGCCCATACCGGCGTCCGGAGTGGAAGGAATGGTATCGAGACTTCATCCGTTGATTGTGTCGCGTCAGTTTTGGCCAGAGCACACTACTAAGCCTGGAAGTAATCCTGCTGGTGCTGCGGGAAATGGAGTAGTTGCGAGTGCGGCATCTGCAGGCGGAGCAAACGGAAGTATCGGAGAGTTCACATTACCGCCGCTGTTTCGACGTGCACAGGAGGAGTACGGCAAAACTTTCTCACAGTCTAAAGCTATGCGCAAGTTGCACTGGCTCAACCATCTCGGTACGGTGGAGCTGGATGTGGAGCTAGATTCTGGCGAGTCCCTTTCGCTCGAGTGCACGCTCATTCAAGCATCGACGCTAGAAGTCATCTCACGTCGGTCGAATGGTCCTTCTTCAGCGACGGGGGCAAACGTAGTGACGCTGACAGATGTCATGGAGGAATTCAACTTGCAGAGGGAGAAAGATGGCAGGGATGCATTGGAATTCTGGGTTCTGGTCGGCTTGCTGAAACCAGTGGCTGGGTTGGCAGATGCGTTCTTGGTGCAGAGCAGCTTACCGTCATATGGCCGTGCAGCAGGATGAAGAGGGAGAAGGTGATGATGGCGAGTCACTTTGATGCGTCATTTCACACTTATCAGGCTGCGTTGCAACACACAGCCGTCAAGAACGGCCTTTTACCCCTTTTAAGCGTGGGACCTTGTTCAAGCGACTGACCGAGAGAAGCACACACAATCACGGTACATCTGAGCTGGAAGTTGGTGGTATTACTATAAGGGTTGAACAAGTATTGTTGGTGCAGATGAAAGTGAAGGCCTTGACGTGAAAGCGTGTCTAATCCTTCTTGAGCTCCCTTCGAATGACCATAACAGCACCCTCCTGCTGCTCATCCTCACCACCGACAGCCTCTGCAACGCTGAAAGGCACATCCGAAGGAATTGACGTCAGATCAACCGCCGCAGCGCCAGCCGCCTTTGCCTCTGGGCCATCCGCGGCTTTAGCAGCGGGAGTTCGCACAACAAACACTTCCAACCCGTCACCAACCTCGATATGACGTTCGGTAGCAGACGTGAACGAGTCGACAACAATCTTAAGCACCTCTGGCAATGTCATCTGACCAGGCTCCGGCACCTTGTGCTCTGGTGTCGAGGTCTGGTTCTTGAACATGATCTGGTTGTCAAAGAAAGGCTGGATTAAAGACTGTGCCGCCCCGGCAGCTCTGCAGAACTCTCGCTCGTAACTGCCAACAGGGTCGAAAGAGTAGACTGCGCCCTTGCCTTCTTCGTCGAGACCACCAAGAATGTTGTAGACATAGTAAGGGAAGAATCGCTTGCCATAGAGGATGGTGGAGATCATGCGTGCGATCGAGTGCAATGGCATGGAGCGGCCGTGTGCATGTCGGTACATTTCGAGTCGTTGACGAACGCGAGAGACGAGGGCCTCGGCATCAGCGGCGAAACCATTGGTGGCCAGGGTGGCCTTATCGTTGAGGCGGAAGACTTTGGGTTTGTAGCGGGTCTGAATGTTGTAGCCTGTGCTTTGACGGGTGTCGGAAGCAATGACGCAGAAGTCGGTACCACAGACAGCGGCGATACTGCCTCCGTTCGAGTCGTACGGCGAGAACTGGTGACCGACCATGTGGTCTTTGGGTGCGGCAGCGTTGTGTGCTGGCCCGCGCGAGGAGCCTGGGAAGGTGCCGAAGAGCGACATTGTGAGCGGATATCCAACTGTGGACGAGTTTGCGGAGCCAAACAAGTAAACTGAGAAGTGTAGTTGCTTGAGCCTCGAATGGAGCTGCCTTGAAAATAGAGAGACAAGCGATGTCGCTGCGAAGGTGAGTAGCTGAGGAAAGAAGAGAGTGTCGAGATGGAGGTGTCACTTGCGAAGCCGCGTCAGATGTCAGTCAAAAAGGTCAAAGCGGCGGAGCGGTGAGAGTTGTCGTCAGCTCCGCACGCTCAAATGCTCACGTTTCCACTCGTCACGTGAAGCGCAGCCGCACAGACCGATCAGCCACGATTTTCTCAAATTTGTTACGTCTATAGTATTTTCACAGAATGTTGGTAAATTCGGAGTCAACGACGCTGCTCAAAAGCAACGATGGCCTGGACGATGTGTTTCATCAGCTCAAGATACTGAAGCACCTTGTCTGTTTCCCAAACAACAGTATCGTGTCCAAGCTCGAGATTGAGCTGACCGCGGAAAGTGAAAGAAGTGCCAAAGGCCTCGCCTGCTCGTGTACGCACGCCGAACAAGAGGTCCTCCTTCACCTCCAGCTTTCCTTCACTTCCTTGTGCGCTTGCCAAGGGCAAATCGAGTTCAGATGGAAGCACAGGGTCGAGAAGACCGACCATGCTGAAGTTGAGAGACGAGCCTGGACCCTGCATGTTCTTCTTGGTCAACCCTGGTTTGCGTTCGTCTTCGCCTGCAACGCCTTCTGGCTCTTTCTGCTCTTCCTCGTCATTTTTAAACACTTGAAAGACATCCTTGACACCGTTCTTGCGGAAGCGCATCTCACGCTCCAGTCCCATGAGAAATCCATCAGCGTGCATGAAGCGTGGCTCAGCGAAGATGCTGTCGAACTGCCTTTGTACTTGTCTTGCTGTCTGCCAAAGCTGTGCTACTTGAAAAGCCGTCAGAGCCTTGCCCCCGCTCGCTTGCTCTGGTTCCAGCGAAAAGAGCTTCGCAGGTGGAAGGCCAACGCCGTTGAAACTCAACCTGACGCCAAGACTCGAAGGCGGCATCAACGGGTCCTGCGCTCCTGTTGGCTGCAAGACGTCGGCAGGCGCAACAGCGTCGAGAAACCTACGCACCGAGAAGGGGAAGCCCATGATTGTGCTGTTCGGTTCTGGATCGCGACTGCCTGGTGCAGCATACTGGTTTTCGAGTGTATTGAGGGCACAAGCCGCAACGGCGTAAAGAAGCGAACCGACTCTCACGCCTCTGCGTTTAGCCACCTGCGTCAATGCTGACGTCTCTTCTTTCGACAGGCGTACAACTGACCACCTCGTTTGCGCTCCCCACCAAGGTTCTTTCACAGACTTATCATCACGATTCGCCTTGAAGTCTGACAGGACTGCTTGCTCGGCTTTGGCCGCACGAATCTGACAAATGACACGGCGAATCGTCCAGAACCACCGCAATTTTGCCAATCGAGATGGAGACAGGCTGTCCTCTGCTTTTGCTGCTTGAGAAGCTAAGGGGAGAAGTTCGGGGTATGTAGCTTCTATCGAAGCTGGCAAGAGCGATAAGAAGTGAGCGTGGTCCATCGCATCGTTCTCGCTCTGCACATCGAATGACCCACTCGGTCGCTGAGTGTCGAAGAGTCCAGTGAGCAGTGCCTGCTTCAAGGCTGGTGTGACGGTCTTGTACTGTGCGCATGACGCTCCTGGTACAACTATCGCTGCGTCATTCTCGAATGCGAGCGCTGGAAACTCTACAGGAAGCTGAGGAGAGGTGAGGATCTGTAGAAGCTCGCCGGCAAGACTGGAGATGCTGAGTCCATCGGAGATACAATGGGCTGTACACAAGATGAGATCCAAGCTGGCTCGGTCGTCCAAGCTACTTGAGACTGAAGGAGGGACGACGATCAATCTTGCTAGGCCGAAGGGCTTATCCTGTCGAAGGAAGCGTCGTTCGCCGTTCCACACGTAGCGGTCTAACCAGGCAACGACTGCATCACTGCGAGTTGGACCAGCAGAAGTGGAAGTGTGACTCGTAACGAGCTCTTCGTCTTCAGCCCATTCGTTAGACAGCCAGATCAAGCGCCTTGAAGCATTCTCCAGCAGATCCGATGCAGAATCGGGCAGATCGAACAGAAAATGAGGCTCGAACGAGCTTGAGCCGTCCTCTGCTGCTTCTCCTGCATGTCGTTTTGACGCCGCTTCCTGTGGATCGAGGAGACTGCCATCGGGCGTCAAAGTCTCGACGTAAGCTCCAAGCAAGGGGTGTCTTCGGCAAAGCAGAGCCCAGACCAGTGGCAGACGTCGGACAAGCTGTCCATAAGCATGTGCTGGGCAGCTGAGAGGGGTGCGGTAGAAAATATCGGTCCTTCCCTCGTGAAGTGTTGCCATGGTATTGAAAAAGGATTCGACCAATCCCATCCTCCGCTCATAGCGGCGAAGGTGCTTGGCGCTGGGCTTCCATGCAAAGGGTGACGGCTTGGTGCGGTCCACGTCGTACAGAGATCGGTAGAACTTAGTCGGTGAGGGCGTAGGCACAGCTAGCATGACTGGCAATGGATTGTCTGCCTTCCAGATCAGGCAGTGTTTGATAACATCTGGCGTCGGGTTCTGTCTCGGGGATCTGTCAAGTTGCTTGTGCGGGTCTGATTGTCCCAAGGTCGTGGCCGTAGGCCAAGAGCTCAAGGCGGTGGTGGAAGGAGTCACAGCTGTCGGAAACAAATAAGCTCGGTCCGTCGGAAGGTTGTCTGTTCGCCTCGTGACTCAAGTCTATAGCCGAATGTCTGTTGTTCCGAGTTCTTCATTGGTTAACTACCGCAAAAAAACGACTTCTCGGACAGAGGCTATCGGTGACATCTGGCATCAGCTCTTCTCGACGGCATCGAAATTAGGCGCTCAACTTACAAAGAAAAGCGGTGACTCAAAGTCAGGGTCCAAGTCAAAGGCGAGGTAAAGAGGCAGGGCCAAGAGGTCCCAATGGATCGGGGGAAAGTGGAGAATTGCATCGGGCGATCCTAAATCTCTCTTCCTCCACAAACTGCTGTTGAGCTGCAGGAGGCGAAGCCCCTCTCGCCTGGCGCCCTGACTTCAGACTGCTGCAACATTACACTGCTCAGCCGCCTCAGTCCTGTCAAACGGTTCCTGTACCCATCAATCCTGATTGCGACTCCCTTATCTGAACTCTGCACACCATACGACTTGCCTTCACTCGTCCACTACTGTACTGTACCTTCACGCCGAGAGTCTCAAGAACTCAATTTCGATATCGACAGCTTCAGGAGCTGAGAATCAGGTGCTAGGTATCCATCTTCGCAGCTGGTTGGCTCTGCTGAGGCTACCCTATCTTGACTTACCGTCAATCCTGTAATCAGCCGTCAGGGATCTAATCCACGACTCGCTGCAATCAAGATGGCAGAGGAAGCGGGCAAGTCAAACACAGTCTTGGCTCAACCACAAACCTTGCCTGTGCCAGACGCCGCTACACCGCGGACATCCAATGACGCGGCACCATCGCCACCATTGGAAAGGCGAATCTCCTCCTCACAGCAGCCTTTGCGCCACGGCAGGAAACCAATCTACCCCGACAGCGATGCAGAAGCGGAAGGACTCGATGCCGATGTAGACGACGAAGAGCTCGAAACAGGGCTTCCGCCTGGTCAAGGCGATTATGAACGCAGTTCGCTCTTGGGAGGCCCTGGTCGCAGCGGTCATGGCAGCGCTGCCGTTGGCCCCTTAGATCGTGCTTGGCTCAAGATCTCTAAACTCTGGGGTGGTGATAAAGCCTATTCGGCCAAGATGATGCGTCGTCGGAAGCATCGAAGAAGCGCCGCTGCGTCCGCTTCCCGCAGGAACTCAAGATCCATCCACACCTCGTCCGCCGCATCATTTTCCGCTTGGAAGCACGAACATCCATACATCATGCGCACCCTCTATGCCATTGTCGGGTTGCTTCTCACACTGCTCGTCCTCATTACCATCGCCGTCTCTCATCTCTACTTGGCTACACTCAAAACCCCATCTTCCGAATCGCAGTCGCGCATCCTCGACGAGTCTCTGCTACTCAAAGGTCCCGACCGCTTGCAGCTGCTCAATATCTCGGACGAAGGCATCCTCGTTCGTGTCGATGCTCGTCTTGGTCTCGATCCCGACCATGCCCTTGATCTCTGGCTCGGCCAACGCGGAAAGCAAGGCTGGTGGAAGAACAAGGAGCGCAAGCTGGTCGAATGGGCAATGGGCAAAGTGGCCGGCGTTCAAGTCGATGTTGGTGAGGTTCGTCTTTCCGAAATTGGTGCTGCCTGGGACCAGTCGGTGCTTCCGCCTGCTGTGCTTGCTTCGTCGACCCTACCGGGTTTCGATCCACGCGACATGCTCGCCTTCCACCTCGACCCACTTGTCTTGCCTTTGCCTCTATTGAACCGCAAGATCGACAGAGACAGTGATGACGACAAGGAGTCGCTTCGCCCTCCTATTCTAGGCAATCATAGCACGCCAGCGGCACAATACAACATGAGCCCACTCAACCTTACTGTGCTGCTCAAGCCTGTCGTGCCTGCACCTTACATCATGGACTATGCCCAGCATGCTATCAAGAAGGGTTTCGCTCAGCTCGATGTCAAGATCGCCGATTTGCGCGTTCGCGGTCTCGCCAAATCCGAGATCGACGGCATCATCCACGGACGCAAAGCCGGCTTCTTTGATGTGCCTCGTCGTATCGATATTGCGCAGCACCACATCCGCAGCCCTGTTCGAGAGAAGTTGCCCAAGCTCGACAACGATACCAACCCGGACGACTTGCTCAAGCTCGATGGATACGAGTTCTTCGAGATCGGCAAGGATGGTGACGATGATGACAAAGATGGCGTTGGCAAGGACAGCTTCTTCTCGACGATGGTGCAGCGAGCGCTCGGTATCAAGGCAAAAGCACAGGCCAAGAACCCCTTGGGAAAAGTGCTGAAGGGCAACGTGCGCTACAGTCTGCCCTTCGGTATCTATCTGCCAGTTGATGGCATCACACCACCTACTTCCGATCCGAAGCATCCAAAGCACGGCGGGAAGACTAAGGCTTCTGATGAGGATGGCCCTGATGAGGGACCTGATGCATCTGTTCTGATGGCAGCTGTCGCTACAGAACCGTTCCAGCTGACAGGGCAGAAGGTGGTTGACCTTGAGTTGCTGGGTCGTGTCGTTCCACCGCCTCAGGAAGAAGCAGATGGAACCATGACAGTCTCTTTGGGCGAGCAGATCTCGTTCAAAGCCGGCTCTGAAGCTGCGCACGACTCTGCGTTTGGCGACTCGCCGCAATCAGCAGCACTTAGCAACTTCCTCAGCCGATTCCTCCGAGGTGAACCCAATACGGTCTTTGTTCGTGGAGGATCGCCATTCCGCGCTCCTAAGAGCTCGCGTCCTTCCAATCACATCGGTATCAAAGAGATTGATGAGATTCCCGGCTCCGGATCGGATCTTCCCGACTGGGTCGACTCAGCACTTCGTCTTGTCGACGTACCCATCTCTTTCCCAGGATCAAAGGTGACCGAACTCATCAAGAATGTCACAATGAACGACCTCAAGATCACGCCGCATCCATTCGAACATGATAAGTTACTTTGCAGTGGTACAATTATGGGCGAGATGAACATGCCTGGTCAATTGGCTAGTATCGACGTCAAGATCACTCACATGTGGCCTGACATCCTGGTCTACGATGGCCTCCCACCTAGTATGCGTAAGGGTCATCACGGGGAGGAAATGACTAGGAGTCGATTCACGATGCTCAATGGCGCTTTGGACAGTCTGAAACGTCTTGGGTTCCTCGACAGCTCTGATGCTGAAGCCACCATGGCAAAGTCGGATGATGGGAAGAAGCCAGAGCCCGAGCCAGCACCGCCCTTACCCGATCCCTTACCCGAAAAAGCGTTCGGTAGAGTGAGACCGTACGATTTCGCTCCGGCTGAAACTTTTGTCGACCCCACAGACCCCAAGGGAGAGCGCAAGTTGCTCAGAGCAGTGTTGAAGGATGTTCCGTTCAACGTGCTACCTGGTCGAGGCCCACTGTTCAGATCGTTCACTTGGAAGCTAGTGACGGGTCAAGGAGCGTTGGTGGGTATTGAGGGAACTAGCAGGGCGAAGATCTGGAACTCGGGACTTGGAGCTCTGCAGCTCAAGAACCTGCCTGTCAAGGGGGCGTTCATGCTGGGCAAGCGTGATTAGAGGCGTTTCTTGGCATATTTGTTTGACATTTTTAGCTTTGTGGTTCGTTTTGTAACATCGTTTCTTCGTACAATGTCTGTATCTTTGCCTGTTACACACCAACGCTTTGACTCTGTGCAGCTTTGACAAAGATGGAAAGCCGAGCGACAGTCTTGTTTACGCCCCAGGGTCCCACCCTAATCCGCAGAACATTAAGCTTAAGCTTGTGAGAAACGAGGAGCCCCACAAACGGCTGCAGTCGAATACTGCATCCACCGGTTAGCGGCGGAAGAAAAGTGTCGCTCGTGTGTTGGTTGGTGGGGCTGTGTTCCTGTCGATCTCTCTTCCCCACTTTAACAAAATAGTCAAATTCGAAGTGCGGAGAGAGACAGAGACAGAGAGGCTCACTGGCTGCCTTCGGCTCCACTCAAATAAAATAAAGCAGGGGAGCGTGAAAGCGGCGCGTTTGCGGAGCTTGAAATAGTACTGCTCAAGGGGGTGTCGACCAATGTCAGACCATGCCTGCCTCGTCTAGGTCTGGGTTTCTAGCAACGAGATGTGGATATACAACATCTTCAAGCAGGTTAGAAGATAGAACGGGGTATTCGACTCTGTGTGGAGCGAAGATGTGTGGGGAAAGGAGAAGATGAGGGGTAGAGTGCAGGAGTAAGTTGGAGAACCTCGTGAAACAGAGCTTACTTTTCACCCGTTGACAGCCGACGGCCATTGGCAAAAGCTGGTTTCTAAACAAATGACAACCAGTTTGTTGGTTGCGGGGCAATCCTTGGAGGCAACGTTGAACTTTTCGGCGCAATGAAAGGAGGAGTCATGAGTGAAAGAGAAAGAGATGTTCCCATGAAAGTTTTCTTAGTGTGCTAGTATCACTGATGTGCTCGTCGAGGATGGGGGGGGGTCAAGCTTAAGCGAGGTTCTGCCGTATTTTCGCCCCTGCTCAGAGCATCGCGTGAAGTTGCGCCTCTCTGATCCTGCTCGCTTAGACACACAATATGGATTTGGTGTTGGGCTTTTTTTGACAACCGGATGTCGAGCAAGCGAGGCTCATGGGCCGAGAAAAGGCGAGCGACAAAAAGGGGTCGGTAAGAAAAGGTAGGTCTGGAGTTCCTGAACAATGGTGCCATGTTTTTTGACAAGATACAGCAAGACGCTGAGTTGTACACAGATGGTGGGGTTGGGTTTTCGAACTAGCTCATACAATACGACAGTAGATGTGTGGTGGCGACAATGGTCTGGCCCAATCTATGCAGCGTGAGGGGCGTTGAATTGGACACCACCATCGCCCTTCCGGTCAACGAGAAAGGAGAGAGAGGGGACAATGCGCTGTAACGTCGATCCTAATCTGTTCTGATGCCCTTGCTGCCACAAAATCGGGCCCTGAATTCCAAACTGCCTCCGTCCATCTGTCCGTCCAAGCGGGGGCCGACCTCTGTTGTGTGCTCTCGCTTAGCGCCGTTTCACCGTACAGTACAGGCCATCGGATCGCGCTTTTTGCATTGTTCTCTGTGTTACAGAGGGGCAGTTGAGCTGTGTTGGTGTGCCTGAGTTGTTCACTGCAGGCGAGCGACAGAGAGATTGGAAAGCAAACCGCTCTCGGCGCATGTGCAGTTGCCCCGCACCCATCGAAGCTCTCCTGGTGTCTGTGAGTGATTCTTGTACACTTTCGCGCTAAGAACATTGGTTGTCATGTAACAACGCAGGCCCAAGTTTTGCGTCCATTTCAAGTGCCCTGTGCTTTTCGAACATGAATGGAAAGATGTTTTCCGCCAAGGTTGGCACTGACATACACATTACATTAGAGCAACACGAACAAGGCCACGTCAAGCGCAGCTGCAGATGGAGGGCTTGAGAGCTGTTCTGATGTGCCGCTCGTTTAGTTGCAACGATCATCGAGGTCGTTTTTTTTTTTTTTTTTTTTTGTTTTTTTTTAAAATATTATCTTATTCTCACGCCTTCCATTCATCAGCATCGATGATCGGCTCATCCGACAGTGCAGTCCTCAATCGCCTACTTTCCCAGCGAGATCATGAGAAGCAAAGCTCGGATCCTCCGAACGCATTGAAAAAGAAGAAAAAAAAAGAAAAAGGAAAAAAGAAAAAAGAAAGAAAAAAAGAAAGAAAAAGGGAAAAAAAAAGGGGAAAAAAGGGGGAAAAAAGGGGGAAAAAGGGGAAAAAAGGGAAAAAAAAAAAAAAAAGCGAAGCTGTCATCGGAAAGAGGCGAAAAACAGTCGGTGCGAGGAGAGGAGGACGAGTAAAAGTCAAATTCTGGCTGCAACTGACTTCCTCTTCCGTCTTCGCTTAGAGCGTTGTGCAGCCTTTGTTGAATTGATTTTGCCTCTCCGCTCGAGCCTCGCTTCAGATGCACACCGTCAAACGATAAACTCTCGGCTCTCTGGCCCTCCGTCCGTCGGTCGGTCGAAAAAGAAAGGAAAGCGACAACTTGAGCCTCCGCATCGACCGCCGCTGTCGAGCTTCAAAGCTTGGGAACTTTCGCTTCTTTTATTCTATTCGCTCTCAGACCGCTTCAAAGCGGACAGGAACCTCATGCTATTGCAACCACTTCCGTTTCAGAACAATCAAGTGAATACTTGAAATTGGCGTTCAGTCCTCTCTATTGGCTTTGTCTTTGCTCTCAAATCCAAGACATCTCTCGGCTGCGCCCCGCCTTCATCCGCTACTGCTGCCTCCTTGACTTGAGGGGGGGGGGGGGGGTTGGGGGGGTTTAACAGTATTCCTTCACTTTTGGTGTGCAGCTCACACTAAACTCAGATGCGAACTTGGTTAGCCGCCGCTCCTTCTCCAGAATTGCCCCGTTCTGCCCTCCATGAATGGCTTGGATGGCTGGCTGGATCTCCTTTGCGTCTCTGTGTTGCCTGCTTGCTAAACCAAAGGGCCAAAGGCGGCGATCCAAACCGAACTTCTGTCGCTTCGCTTTGACTGCTTTGTCCCTGTCGCCTGTGTAGGTCTTGACTTTTCCTGATTTCGCCTCTTGTCCCTTGTCTGCACCCCAGATCGGCTTGACACCTTGCCCTTCCAAATCGAGACAGCCTGTGAGCAAGTGTCTCTCAATGCCATCTCGTTCAATCCCAACCAAGCCTCTGACGTTTGCTTGTCGCCATCTATTCCATCCCCTTTTTCCCCTTCCTCGCCACCATCACTCCTCATCACCATCACTCCTCATCATCACCATCACCATCACTCCTCATCACCACCATCAAGACCACCCTCGTCGCCGTCGCATCTCTCCTCTTCACCTTTCATCGCGGCGCATTCCACCGGCACCCTTCAGCAGTTCGTGCTTCCGTCTCTAGAAACTCTTTCCCTGTTGTGGTTTCACTCGTTTACTGGATCCTTGGAATCCATCTATACCGGCACCTAGAGCATCGACAACAGCTATTTCTCGCCTCGGATTGATTTCCAACCTTTTATAGTTAGACCATCCAACCTCTAACTACACCCCTGCTCGGAAGCTGAGTCCCCTCAACATGGCGGACCATGCCTACGGCTCCCGGGAGAACCTTCGTCGACGCTCCGCCGCTCAAGGCAGCATCGACTCGGCCCCTCCCTCCGCCGCTGGTTACTATCAGCCCGGTCAACCTATCGGTTTTGTTCGTGCTCGCGGCACTCCTTACGAGAAAAAGTACTTTTCCAGGAAGCTCGGCTACTGCTGTCTCTTTGTCGCCCCTGTCGTCCTTCTCGTCACTCTCGCCATCACCTTGCTTCCTGTTCTCTACGCCGTTGCCAACCATGCTCTACACACCTCCGTATTGCACGTCTACGAGTCCAACATCACCGCTCCCACAAACACTTCCTTCCCGCTCACCCTCGAAGGTCAAGTCAAGAAGGTCGGCATTTTCCCTGCCCACATCTTCTTCCGTGAGCCTGTTCAAGTCTACTGGGTTTTGCCTCCCAACCCTGGTCAGGTCGCCTCTCCTGAAACTTTGACTGAGGTCAACATCGGTCAATTCAATCTCGCCTACATTGGTGCCGCTGCCGGTCATGGTCGCATCAAGCAGGTAAGTTGCTCCCACCTTTCCATCCATCCTTGCCTTTGACTGAGTCGAGTGCTGACTCTCCTTTGTCTTGCTACTCCCGCTTCAAACAGGCCACCAACTTTGAGATCAAGGATGTCGCAGGTTTCGGCGAGTTTGCCAAATTCCTCATCTCGCAACCTGAGTTCACATGGAAGCTCAACTGCTCCAATGTCCATGTCGAGGCCTTCTCCTTCTTGCCAACTTACAAGAATCTCGTCTTCAACAAGCACATCATCATCAAGGGTTTCAACAACTTTGAGGATGTCCAGATCTTGGACTTCCAGCTTCCCGGCGATGACCCCGACGGTGGTGTTACACTCTCCGTTACTACCTCGCTCATCAACCCCTCGCCTTTCGGTGTTCAGCTCGGCACCCTTGACCTCGCCCTCTACTACGAGGGCATGTTCCTCGGCCCTGCTAGCACCGATAACCTCAACGTCACCACGGGACGCAACGTCATCACCCTCAATGGCCGACTCGTTCCTCACAACGACAATTCCACTGAACTCGACTTGCTCGGAAAGCTCTTCACCGCCTACATCAACGGTGAGACTCTCCCCACCCAGGCTCGCGGCGTCTCGGTTCGTCAGGCCGATGGTCAGAACATTGGATGGCTCAGCACCGGTATCACCGCCCTCGAGCTCGCTGTACCGCTCAAGGCTCCTCAGCCCATCAACCCCATCAAGAGCATCAGCATTGGCTCCCTCGCTTTGGTCTACACTCCCGAGACTGCATACGACCCCACTGCCTTCTCGAGCGCTCTTTCCGCTGTCATTGGTCTTCCCTTTGGTTTCTCGCTCTCCATCGTCAGCACTGCCAACACCTTCACCATCTTCTTCGAAGGCGCTCAGGTAGCCACCATCAACTCGGCCTACTCCAACTCCACTACAGAGCTCTCGCTCATCAGTGCTGGTCAGACTGCAGGTACTCTTGACTTGACCCTCCCCCCTTCCACCTTGACGCTTGCCAACGACACTCAAGCCGCCCGCACCGAGCTCGAGAACTTCCAGACCTACCTCACCCTCAGCAACGGTACTGCTATCCGTCTTCAGGGTGCTGCCAAGGCCATCACCGACACCCCTCTCGGTCGTGTCTTGCTCGATGGTATCGCCTTTGATGTCGACAGTGGTCTTTTGGGTGTCCAGGGTCTCAATGCCTACCCCACCATCATCACCAGCGTCGATGTCACTGGCGGTACTCGCGATGGTATTCTTCTTTTGGTCGGAACCACGCTCGTTAACCCTTCCAACTTGAACCTTACTATCGGCGACAGCTCTTTCCAGCTGGTCAACCGCGATGTGGTCGGTACCGTCACCATTCCTGCTCTCAACCTCATGATCGGCAGGAACGACGTAAACGCTACCTCGGTCTTCAACCCTAATGCAAGCCCTTACGGTCTCGAGACCCTCAACCGCTTCATTTCCGGTCAGGACACCGAACTTGGCATCAATGGTTTCCAAGGATCCACCGCAGTCGCGTCGCTGCTCCCGGCCCTCTCGCAGATTCGCATCAACTCGACGCTTCCTGGTCTCAAAACGACGCTTGTGCGCACTGCCAACTTGACCGTCTTGGACAGCACGGGTGTCACCAACAACTTGGCCGACGCCACCGTCTTCCTTGCCAACCCCTTCAGCTCACCGTTGACCATTACGCACATTCGATCCAACGTTACTTCGCACGGCATCTTTGTGGCTAACATCGACACTCCGCTCAACTTCAACGCTCAGGGTCGCGCTGTCACTCAGTCGCCTCCCATCTCGCTAGGCCTCAACCTCTACCCTCCCGACATCTTTTCGCTCGTGCGTGCGCTTGCCATCCAGAGCGGCCAGAACCCTGCTTACATTGACGGCATTGTTCAGCTTGGTGGATACACCTTGTCCCCCACCACATCGGCCAACACGCGTCGTTCGCTGCAGTCGGACGTCGCCCACGCCGATGCCACCTACGACTTGGAGGAGGAGAACGAGCTGGCTAGCGCCATGATGGGCGGCGTCAATAACGTCGAGACCCTCGCTGACGTTGCTGACTGGGCCAAGCGCGACGAGCCTCAGGCTCTCGAAGAAGCTGGCATACTCAAGAAGCGAGCCAACCTCTACACCGGCTTCGACTTGCCCAGCTACATTGACCGTGCCTTCGCATCGGCCACAACAAACCTCGAGATTGTCACCGATGTCAACATTGGCGACTACTCGACCACGCTCGCCTTTGCTCAGCAGAACGTGCCGCTCGGTACCGATGTAACGCTCAACAAACTCCTCCCCGTTCTCGCCGGCCCCATTGTGCAGAAGATTGTGGACAATGCCATCCTCACCATCGACCGAGTCACCATTCTCAACCCTCAGCAGAACTCGTTCCAGACCGCACTGCAGGGCAAGATCACCAACTCGGGTCCCTTCGACGCCACCATCGAGTTCACCAACGGTCTCAAGGTCACCTGGAACGGTCGTCTCCTCGGTCAGATCGCTATGCCCAACGTCGCGCTCGCCGGCGATGTCGGTGCTACGCTCGAGATCCTGGCTGAGTTCGTGGTCGCTGATGTCGGCTACCTTACCGAATTCACCAGGTACCTCCTTACCGAGAAGAGCTTCGTTTGGAACATTGCCGGCGACGGTCTTCGTGTTGCTGCTCTTGGTATCGAAGTCAACGACATTACAATTTCCAAGAACGTCATCCTCAGCGCCTTTGACGGCCTGAGGAACAGCGTCATCATCAACTCGTTCGACTTGCCCTCCAACGACCCTGCTGGTGGTATTCATCTCACTGCTGCTACCACCATCTACAACCCTTCGCAAGTCGGTGTTCAGCTCTCGCGATTCGGTGTCAGCCTCGAGCGCAACAACACTTTCATTGGTCCCTCGGCCGCACAGGATCCCTTCGTCCTTCAGGCTCTTGCCGTCACCACCTTACCGCTGGTGGGTCGGCTGGTGCCGCAGACAACTGACCAGGGTCTTGCTGTTCTCTCCGAGATCTTCACACGCTTCGTAGCCAATATGAACACTGACGTTCAGGTCCTCGGTGACTACGCCGGTCCCGAGGGCGTCACCTGGCTCAATGATGGTATCAAGGCACTTTCCGTCACCGTCTCGCTGCCCTCGCAAAGCTTCACCGTCATTCGATCCATCTCGATCAATCAGATCTCGCTCTTCTTCACGACGCAGACCGCTTGGGGCCCACCGACCAGCTCCAATGACACGCAAGCTGGCTTCTTCCTTCCCTTCGCATTCCCCATCGACATTCAGCAGGTCGGTGGTGGCTTCATTGCCGGCTATCAGGGTCAGAACATGGCTGTGCTCGACATTCCTCCTTCGCCCTCGATCACCGATGTCGCTTCGCGAATCTTGACCTTGATGTTCAGCAATGTTCCCTTCGACGTTTACCGCAACCAGCACCCCAGGTTCTCGCAGTTCTTGGCCGATACCACTGCCGACACCCAGGTCACCTTCAACCTGAACGGTCGCGCCGATACTAAGGCCAACACCGCTGCTGGTCTCGTCTCCATCACCAACATCCCATTCAACGTCGACACGAACCTGTTGGGTCTGCAGAACCTCAACGCTCGTCCCGCTGTCGTCTCGAACCTGGATGTCTATCGCGGCTTCCCGTCTTACCTCCAGATCAACGTCGACACGACACTGTTCAACCCCTCGCACATCACCATTGGTACTGGCGATGTCACCTTCGACGTCCAGTTCCTGGGTCGAAAGATCGGTACCGCTGTCATTCGAGGTCTTGTGCTGGTGCCTGGTGTCAACATTGTCCCTACCGAGGTGCGCTACTCGCCACAGGGTGCGGAGAACACCCGTGCTGGTCAGACCTTGCTCGAGAACTACGTTCAGGGTATTGTGTCCAACACCATCATTCAGGGTACGCGAGACACCACCCCGATCGAGTCGCTCAAGCAGGCGCTCTCGGGCATTCGTCTCAATGCCGACATTCCTCCGCTCAAGCAGCTCCTCATTACTATGGCTAGGTTGAGAATTCCACCCAACATTGCGCAGACTGGTATCGCTCAAGCCAACTTCGACTTGCGCAATCCCTTCACTGCTTCGATCAACCTTCTCAAGGTCAAGGCTGGCGCCTCCTACCAGGGCATCTTCCTCGGTGAGATCAACCAGAACCTCCAGAAGGATCCCATCCGAGCTCCTGGTAAGACTACCATCACCTCGCGCTTCTTGCCCTTCAACTTCAACCTCGACCCCAAGAACCTTATCCGCTTTGTGCAGGCCGCTGCTGCAGCTACGGGCACCGACCTCGGTCCTCTGTCTCCTCTGTTCGCTCAGGTTCTGGCGCAGCCTTCGACACAGACGACCGTCAGCCCTTATCCGGACTCCAACCCTCCCAACTGCCGATCTGGTAACCAGTTCGATGTGCTTGGAACTGTACTTCGAACTCTACAGGGTCTCACTACCAGGCTCGATGTGCAATCCGGTGTCAACTTGGACCAGTACTTCACCAACTTGAACTTCAGACAGGAACCCGTGCCCACCGAGACGGATCGAACCGCGCTCTACTTGCTTGGTCCTGCCGGTGCACCTATCGTACAGAACATCGTCGACCAGGCTATCCTCAGGGTCAACATTGCCAACATCACCAGTGTAACCAACACCGGCTTTGATGTCTCGCTCTCTGGTTCGCTCACCGGAACAGGTCCCTTCGATGCTCTCATCGAGTTCACTGAGCCACTCACGGTCACTTGGCAAGGACGGAACATCGCCAAACTCTCGCTCCCGCCCATCTGTGCCTTTGCCAACGAAGGTGTGCCCAACTTGGTCACGAGTGGTCGCCTTACCATCACCAACCTCGGCGGCTTCACGGACTTTGCCATTTTCATTTTGGCCAACCCCTCGTTCCAGTGGACTGTCTCGTCAAACAAGTTGACCGTGCGTGCTCTCGAAATCATCTACAGCAACGTCATTATCTCCAAGACGATCGACTTCAGGGCGTTCAACGGCTTGCCCGGTGTCAAGACCTCCAACTTCGACGTCTACGGCGAAACGAGCAACTCGCTGCTCATCCGCACGAATGCAGCCATTCCCAGCCCGGCCACCTTGGGTATCCAGCTCGACACAGCCAACTTCGAGATCTTCTTCATGGGCACCGACATTGGTCCTATTCGATCCAACAACCTGTTCTTGGCTGCTCTCGCTACCACCAACACGGTGCTTGAGGGTTCCATCACCGCCAAGTCGGGTCGCGATCTGCAAAACACGGGTATCTTGTTCACCAACTTCTTGCAGGGACGAACCCAGATCTTGCAGGTCAAGGGTGTTTCGGTCGTTACTCAGGCCAATGGCAACCAGCCTGTGAACTGGCTCAGCGCTGCCTTCAGGACGCTCACGCTCAACGTCGAGCTTCCCGGTCAAATTTCCCAGATCATCTTCTCGATCACACTTTCCGATCTTACCGTCTTCATCAACGGAGATCCTGCCGATTCGTACACGGTGCCCTCGAGCTCCAACTCGACCATCGCTACCTTTGCTAATCCGTTCAGATTCAGTCTGCAGCCCATCCAGGCGGCACCGGCGCTCAACCTCTCGTACGCTGGTGGCAACACGGCCTACTTGCAGTTGCCTTTGGCCAACGTGCAGGCCGGTACCTCGCGTGGTCCCGACGACTTTCAGGCGCTGCAGCTCATGTGGCGTCGACAGAACATCGTCGCCGTCGACCGTCCCAACTTCCAGGCCTTCTTCGCACAGCTCACCGACACGCCTCGTGGCACATTCGACCTTCGCGGAGGCACTGACGTCGTTGCCAAGACGGTTATTGGTAACATCCCCATCGGCGGCATTCCTTTCAACGTCACCACCTCGCTCACTGGTATCAACAGCTTCAACGGCGCCACCCAGCTCTCCGATGTCACGGTCGCCGGTGGTAATCCGCAGTTCCTCTGGATTCCTCTCAAGGTCACGCTCTTCAACCCGTCGAACCTCACCGTGCTCACCAACGAGGTCTTCCTCCCTGTCTTGTTCTCCGGCACCTTTGTCGGTCGCGCCGAGATTCCTGTGCTTGGTCTCATTCCTGGCAACAACCTGGTGCAGTCGTACTTCTACTATTCGCCCGCCAACGCCAACGATTCGACCGCTCAGAACCTCCTACAACGCTACGTTCAGCCCGCAGACTCGGATGGTGTTTCGAGACAGACAGCCGATCTCGTTATCGACGGTCGCGCAGGCCCTCAGACCAACCTCACGCCATACGACTCACTCCGCCCTGCTTTGGCCGGAGTCAGGCTGACGACCTCGCTCGAAGGTATCGCCTCGCGCATCATCACTGAGATCAGGGTTTACCTGACCGCAGAGACTCTCCTCACAGGTCTTACCAACTTGCTCGGTGTTCCCGGTGCGCCACTGCCTGTGGTCGAGATCGAATTGTCAGCGCAGAACGTGCTGGACACGAACCTCTACATTGTCGCCCTGCAGACGGTGGCCAAAATCGCAGGTTCAACGCCCAGGGATGCCAGCAACGCCGACGCAAGGGTGTCGTACACCTTCCCCACTCCCTTCACCGTACCAAGCAAGGGCACTGCCAACTCGGTGAGAGTTCCTGATGTCGTTTTGCCCAAGGGTCTCCTCGCTTCGCTGCCTGTCATTGGCAAGAACCTGGACATTTACAACAACTTGCCCATTCGACTCGGTCCATCGGCGAGCGACAGTTACCTCGCACCCGGTCTCAACTACAACGAGTACAACGTTCCGACGGCCTATTCGATCTCCTTGGGTGGTCTCAACATTCCGCTCAACCCGGCAGAGACTATCGAGGAGTTGCTCGGACAGATCATTGGCGCCGGTGTCAATCTTGGCGGCACCCTGACAGGTCTTCTGAATAACTTGGCGAATGGTAACGTGATTGGCGGCCTGGGCGAAGCAGCTAGACAGACTGTCTGCACGCTCACTGGCCTGACGAGCGGCTTGACGGGAGGCTTGCTGAACGGTGTTCTGACACAGGCCGGCTGTGCCAACGCGTCATCGTCGTCTTCAGCTGCAGCTTCGTCGACGACCAACCCTGCTGCAGCAGCTGCTTCTTCAGCGACCGAGGCAGCGGCATCGGTCACAGGTGCTGCTGGAAGTGCCGTCAGCGAAGGTGCTGGTGTTTTGACCAGTGCGGCTGGCGGTCTCACTTCTGCAGTAGAAGGTGCTCTTGGAGGCGGAGCAGCTACGACGACGACGCAAGCAGCAGCAGCAGCAGCAGGAACATCTTCGGGTTCAGGAGGCGGTGGTCTCCTCGGTTTGATCCCAAGAGTTGAACCGACACCGCTACGATTGCATCAGCTGTAAGATACCCTGTGCTTGTCTAGCAGGTGATGCGGAGAAGACCTGCTCTTGATGCTCTCTGCGCTCCCTCCTTCCCACCTTTAATACCCTTCATACATTCTTACTTCTTTTGCCCCTCTTCAAAGCTCCATCTCAATGACGAGGTGAGAGCGAACATTCACACTCTCTTGACTTTTGGCTCGTTTCAATCTGGGACACACTCTCTTGACAAGGACGCTTCTTTACTCTCAACATACCTTGAGTCTGGGCGCGTTCGTTAACATACTTTCTTTAGCGCTTCTTAGCTTTGTCTATCTTTTCATGTGCTTTATATCTTTCCGCTTCTTCGGCAATGTGGATCTGTCAACTTTATTTTGTTGTTGCGTGGTTGTGCTCAAAGTTTCGGTGGGATGATCGAGGCAAGGGTGCAATTGGTGAGACGCGGGAGAAGCCGGTTAGCGCGAACGAACGTGCAATGCAGAAGTCTGTCGTGGGCAGAGTGTCAGCCTTCTTCCGCAGGGAGCTTGACTCGCACGACCGCACAAGTGAGGTTCATTCGGACGATACAGAAACAATGGTTAGATTTCGGATCAGCGAGCTGGCTGAAAAGGCTTCCAGCGCGCCACAGACGGATGGAGTAGTCAGCGTCGAATCTTATGCTAAAGATAACGATCCAGCAGGAAGTCAAAGTGACAAAGAATCGGGAAAGATCGATCTAGAACGTAATCGGGAAAGCAGATCAGTTGAAGTTGCACTGGAATGACAAACATGCAAGAGAGCCGAGTCACCAACAGGCCAAGGATCGTGCTGTCATGGGGCCAGATGCGCAGGATGCAAGAAGACCCAAATTCATATGAAGGAGAGCACAGGAATCGTAGAATCGGGCTAAAACAAGAGTTATGGCAGAGTCCACCAGATCTGTAGTAGAAACAGATCTATGACAGATCCTGACCAATTTGGTATGAATGGGAGGTTATGGCAAAACCCACTGGAATCTGTAGTATTGTGATTGTATGACAAATCCCGCAAGGAGGTGCCAATCTCACGAGTCTCATCATGAGACAGATGTTGACACCATGGATGGGTGGCAAAGACATCTGGGCCTGCCATCAATGAAGCAGGGGACCTGCTCAGGAATGAACCTCAAGTGGGTAGATGGGAGGAATGAGAAGGAGTGTGAACTGTTACTCAGATGAGGTGGGAAAGGCCTCTGATGATGATGAAACAATGTGAGGGCTGTCCATCCATGGGCAGCAAGAGACACGGTGCTGATGAGCAGCATCACAGGACAGATAGGAGAGACAGGAAAGAGGAGGAGCAGTGTTGGAGAGGTGTGCCAGAGTGAAGGCAGTGTTGCAGATGACATTGTGAGGATGGTATATAACCTCCCTCCTCATCATAGCTGTTGAGTGGACCCCCATCCACTCTACACCATACACTACTAGTTATAGCTTTCACATAAGTATACATTAGTATTTAGTCAGCAGTAGCAATTGTAAGACATTGCTCCTACCATAGCACATGTGTTGTATCACCACTTGTTGACATTGATCAACATCTGAAGGCAGTTAATCCAGTGGTCTGGCTCTCCCAATCATTAGAACTGAAGGCAGTCATCCACTGCAGCCCAGGGATCACCTCAAGCACTCAGTCGACACACTGGACACTTGTGTTGGCACTGCCAACAAGCACACTCACACCAGACCTTGGTGTCAGTATGAAGTTCTTATCACTATTGATCATGCCAAGCTACCTCTGGACAAAGTGTCCACAGCAGTTAGTTGAGACCTGCAGTATCAATCACCTTATCACATCTTTGGATGAGAAAAGTCATAGAGGCCTTCTAAGACAGATCTCAACAGGAACAATAATAGAAAGCACTCTACCACAAATCTTGACAGGATCTGTAATAGATGCATTTCTATTACAGGTTTCAGGTTTCAGGCACGAGACCGCTGACACATGCATGCATGGTAATTTGGTGGTGACCAATCAGGAAACATTTAGGAAGAGGAATGCCGAGACTAAAGGAAGACAATGCTGAAGCTCCTTATGACACACCTAGTTTGTAAGGTGTTGATAGCCATTCTCATGAGTGAAGCAAAGGTATATATATTCACACAATACTGTAGTCTTAGTCCATGTGAATTTCAAGCATTGCAGTTACCATACACCTATACCATAAGAGCTAGAACATAGCTCCACAAGGAGGTGCCATGCAGCTTCAATCTTCAACTGATTAAGAGTCTGAAGCTCCCCCACCAGACCAGCCATGGTGGATGACACTGATTCTCAAGCTGGTGCCAGCAAAGCTGCCAAGAGATATAAAAGGACCAAGAAGGTCACAATTGTCTGACAGACACAAGCCAAGAATACAGCCAACAATGACAACAAGATTGATGATGAGCCCAAATCCAAGTCAATGTAAACTATCTTCTCCTGGACATAATAAGAGAGTACCTCACATTCAATCAAGTCTGGAACAAGATAGAAACAGGATTAGGCAACAAAGCCACCAGGACCTCCTGCCAGCTTGCCCTGATCACCCAGCTGGGTGATGTCAAGATGTTCCATGCTGATGCTTGGAAGCTGATATAAGAGAACAGAACCATCCAAGCCAAAGGAAGCATTCTGGGAAGGCCATTTGCAGACAACACTTTGTTCTCAGCTCTCCAGAAATGCACAAATTGCCACCTGGTGTTCAGAGAAACAGTTGCTATGGTCCATCAACTTAACTTTGAGGCACTAGCCACTGCATTCAGCACATACCAATCAGCATTGGAGAGCACCCCCACCCAGAAATTCGATCCCCAACAGGCTCATGCTAGGACTGCTGGTGGTAGCAACCAGGACAGATCAGCTCAAGAAACCAACACCAATGATGGTGGTGAAATTGCAAAGACCACAAACAGACCACAAAAGATTCAGTGCTTCATATGCAGGCAAATTGGATGTGGAGCAAGACAATGTGATGCATCAGTCAGCATCCCAAAAAACTCCCCACTCACCAACTCCAACTAGGAAGCCTGGTGTTCCCTCACCCTGAGTTGGAAGAAGATCTTAAACCCAAAAGAAACAACTTGTTGGAATCTGGATTCAAGAGCTAGTTTTCACATGCTCAATAACTACAGCACACTCATCAGTCCAAGAACCTGCCAAAAGTGTATTTACACTGCCAGAAGAGAGGTTTTGGAAGCAAGTGCTGTAGGAGATGCTAGCATATCAACCGAGTATGGAGATGTATTGTGTCATGGGAGGATGCGCAGGAAGCAGGAACAACAGCAGCCATATGAAGAGGAGTGCAGGAATTGCAGGATTGGGCAAAGTGAGGGTTTACGGCAGAGTTCATTGAGATCTGTAGTAGAAGTGCTCTATGACAGATTTCATCCAAATCAGTACAAGCAGGATCTTACAGCAAAACCCACTGGAATCTGTGGTATTATGATTGTATGACAGATCTTGTGGGGAATGCTGATTTCACAGATCTTGCAACAAGACAGATGTTGAAGGCATTGGGTTTGCCACCCTGATGAAGCAGGGGGCTGACTCAACGATTAATGCAGAGCAGGAGGTTAGACAAGATGAAAAGGGGGTGCAAGTTGCCACCCAGATGAAGTGGGAAAGGCCCCTATCAAGTAATGAAGCAGCATGAGGACTCTCCATCTGCAAGAAGTGAGAGAAGCAGTGCCAACAAGTGAAAAGGCAGGCAGGACTGCTAGGAGGGAACATCAAGAGGAGGAGGAGCAGTGTAGGAGGAGACCACATAGGGTATGAGCAGTGTTGCCAGCAATATGGCAAGGACATCTATATAACACACACTTGCTCCTCATTGTAGTAGTTGAGTGGATCACCATCCACTCTACACTTTACATTACTAGCTATCACTTTACAACAAGTGTACTTAGTATTCTGTCAACAAGTTGCAATCACATAGTATTGCTTCTATTGTAGCACATGTGTTGTATCACTGCTCATTGACATCATCTGAAGGCAGTATTAACTGTGGTCCAGATATCAATCGACACTGAAGGCAGTTCATACTGTGGTCCAGCTCTCTCGATCATTAGAAACCAAAGGCAGTTGTCCACTGCAGTCCAGGGATCACCTCAAGCACTCAGTTGACACACTTGACACTTGTGTTGGCACCAACAATATCACTCACACCAGACCTTGGTGTCATAGCATTACATCTATCATTATTGATCATGCTGAGCTACCTCTGGATGGAGTGTCCACAGCAGTTAGTCAAAGCCTGCAATAGCAATCAACCTATCACATATTTGAGCAAGAAAAGTCATAGAGGCCTTTTACAACAGATCTCAACAAGAATAATAATACACAGCATTTTACCACATATCTCGACAGGATCTGTAATAGATGCGTTTCTACTACAGATATCAGGTTTCAGGCGCGAGACCCCTGACAATCAGCACAGCCATTTGAGGGTGTTGATGAAGAGTTCGAGGCAACCGTAAAGAAGCATGTCACTTCCACACAGCAACTTTGGCATGAACATTTTGGACATTCAGGTCGAGACAAAGCCAAGGCTATCATCAAGAAGATAGGAGTTAATCTTATAATGGATATGGACCCAAATACAGCTCAGACATGTGAGCAGTGTATACAGTCCAAGAGCACAGCTGCACAAATGGGGCAGGGCAGCAGAGAAAGAGCTGCTGCTCCTCTCAACCTCATACACATAGACCTGATCATTGATGCATTGCATGTGACAGAACACACCTGTATATTGGTGCTTGTTGACAATCATAGCAAGTATGTTTATGCACAACCATTGCTGCAAAAGAGCCAGGCCTTCATACAACTTAAAAGAATAGTTTCATTCCTTGAGACACAGACTGGAAGGAACCTAAAGGCAATCCAATCCAATCAAGGAACAGAGTGGATTTCAATGAAGCTCTCAAATGGTCACAAGACAAAGGAATAGAATGGCAAACAACAGTGGGTTACAATAGCAAACAAAATGGAAGGGTGGAACAGATGAATAGAAGCTTGAGTGAAAAGATGTGAATGCTACTGGTACAACAAGGGCTACCAAAGAGCTTCTGGCCATACACAATCAGAGCGGCAGCATCCAAGATAAACCTTACTCCAAATGCCAACAGTGAGCTTCCATACAAAGTGATGTTCAAGAGATCACCCAAAAGGCTTATATGACTCCTCTGCATCTTTGGATGCCTTTGGGTGAACATTCCAAAGGTCAAACAAGACAATAAGAAGTTAGATCAATGAGCAGTGGCAGCTATATTCATAGGATACAGCCTGGAATGGAAGGGATGGCTGTTCTATAGCCCAGACTATAGACCAAGTGTCTTCTGGAGTAACTTGGTGAAGTTCATAGAATCCAAATGCTGGACTGATCACACCAAATGGAAGCTGATGAACATTCAACCACCTCAGACAATGGCAAGTGAAGAAGACACCAAGAACTTGGGTTACTCAGAAGCAAATCTATTCAATGAAAAGGACCAGGGATTGCTAAATGAATACATAGACATGGGACCAACTGTGGACATGGAAGAGAGTCAGAACCCCAAACCATTGATGGACAATGGCTTCTTCAGACTCACAGCAACAGACACCAAAGAGAAAAGAAACCTTGACCCAACAGTCTGAGAGGCATTAGCAGGGCTGGACAAGAGATTTTGGGAGGAAGCAATGCAAAAGGAGTTAGAAGGACTGGAAACAATGGGCACATGGGAGGTCACAAACCTCCCACCTGGCATGAACACCATCAACACTAGATGGGTCCTTAAGATAAAGACAGATGCAAACCTGGTACCCACGAAGTTCAAGGCAAGACTCATAGCAAGAGGGTTTACTCAAAGAGAAGGTGTCAACTATACAGAAATCTTCACACCAGTAGCACCAATCCAAACAATTCGAGGAGGCTGGGAGGTAGACTCAGTCAATGTCAAGCAAGCATACCTCAATTCCAACCTGCACCATGATGTGTATCTAAGGTTGCCAATTGGAACACAGGTGCCTCCAGGGAAGGTGTTGAAACTAGTAAAAGGATTATATGGCTTAAAGCAATTGGGCTGAGAATGGAATGTTGAACTGGATTCACACCTTTGGAGGATAGGGTTTCATTGTATGCTCAGTACACCCTGCCTATTGTCACAGGATCAGCGAATCAGTGTATGAAGTGTGTGCCAAATTGATCTGTGGCAATCATCAGGAATCGATGATCTAATCAGGTTGGTAGTGCATATGGCTTGCAAGATCAACTGAACTCCAGGATCCTGGTTAATCTCACAAGGTTCAATCAGAATCAGCCTGATCAGCATGTCTCAGCAAGTTGGCCATCACGAGCAAGCATTGGGAGATTCAGGAAGGAGGATACCAGAAATAGAAGGAGAAGCATATGGGAGATAACCACATGCAGGAGTGGGGACCAAGCTCAGCATCACACAGATGGTTACCACTCAAGGGGTACATGCATACAGCCACAGGGGACTGAGCACAGGGGCAACCACATGATCAAGGGGGCTTGGCAACAGGACTTGACAGGTGGTTAAGGGATTCACAAGATAAGGTCAAGAAGGTAGTCACCAGTGAAGAGAGAAGGAGCTGTGTCAAGCAGACCGGGGATTGTCTATGAGGAGGAGGAGCTGTGTCAAAGGGGTCAACACACATCACCAGGCAAAGAAGAGTATGGAGGCAAAGGGGCAGTATCACACAAACCAATATGCTGTACGAGCAGTAGAGGCACAGCATCAAAGGTGTCATGGGCCTGGATGCTCAAGAAGCAGGAGGGTCACTGGTTCATATGGAAGGAGCACAGGTATCGAAGATCTAGTCGATACCAGTATAGAGCATGGTCGTAGTGCAGTCTCCATGGAGACCATGGACTCCTATGGACTCACCTGCAAAGGAGGGCCGAGCCATATGCGAGGAGGGCCAGGCACAGCCACAAGGAGGACCAAGCTCAAGGAGCAGGCACAGCCACGAAGAGGACCAAGCTCAAGGAGCATGCAGATGGTTACCACTCAGGGGCTTGAGAGACAAGAGTCAAAGGAGTCGACACCAGGTCATGAGGAGGAGGAGCAGTGTCGAAGGAGTCGACACCACTCAGGAGGCACAAGGGTGCCAAACAAGCAGCAGGATAGCAAGGAGGAGGAGCAGTGTCGAAGGAGTCAACACAGCTCCAGAGGCACAGGGGTGCTGAGCAAGCAGGAGAGGCCCTTGAACAGTACTCGATGAAGAAGGTACTCTCTGGAGAGAGAGCAGGAGCAGCATCGCTGGCAATGCTGTGAAGAGGTATATAACCATGCTTTCTCATCATCAAAGGTCAAGTGGATCCTCATCCACTCTACTCACCATACAACTAGTCAATACTTTAGAAACACAAGTACTCATTAGTTACAGTCAGCATAGCAGCAATCTATCAAGGTTGCTCCTCATCGTAGTGTGTGTGTTGTATCACCACTACCTGATGCCCGTAGGCACCCCATAGCAGGTTAGCAGTCCAGATATAGATAGAACCGAAGGCAGTAGTCCACTGCAGTCCGGGGATCACTTCAAGTGTCAGAGTCAACACACTGGACACTCGTGTTGACACCACCAACCTTATCACCAACACCACCAACCTCATTATCATCAACACTCACCAACCTTATCACCAATGTCATCAAACTCATCATCATCAACACTCACACCAGACCTTGGTGTCATCATAACCAAAGCATTGATATTGATCGTGCCGAGCTACCCCTGAATGGAGTGTCCACAGAGGTCAGCCGAAACCTACGATAGTATATACAACGAACGCCACCTGCTGTCACTGCACAACTTGATAGTCACTGATACCGAGACAATAGCTGTTGCACAGTTTGATAGTCACCGAGTATCTCGACAGACCGACCTGGGTTTCAGGCACGAGACCCCTGACAAAAGGGAGCAACACCAGCAGGAGAGAGTGTGTCAAGAGGAGGCAAAGGCCCCTCAGGAGGAGCAGGAGAGGTGTCACAGGCAACACCAAGTGAATGCATAAATACTCT